CCCCCCCCCCCCCCCCCCCCCCCCCCTCCCTCTGTCCCCCTGTAAGAAGCTGCAGCAGCAAGGGGTGTGCGGGGCGGAAGTGGGGGGGGGTGGAAGGGAGGTTGCTGGACAGATTGCGAGAGGAGAGAACGACAGACAGCATAAAGGCCACTCTACCTGACGCTGAGCTCGCGCTGGAGCCGTGGAGGGATTTGAGGGTGTAGGGGGGGAGTGGGTAGGGGGAGAGGGTGAGAAAGCAGTCCATCAGTGGCGTGTGTGTTTGTAGCTTTGTTTATACTTTTGCGATAAGCCCCCTCACTGATGAGGAGGAACCGTAACTAACATTTAAAGCAATATAAAGAAAAAGAAAACCTATATTTACTCAAATGCCTCGTTATAAGAATCCTGTTTAAACTGCTACGGAGTATAAACCAAGCTTAAGTGTGTGTGTGTGTGTGGGCCTCTGAGGAAACAATCGGTGTTACCTGTACTGGTGGGGTTATTATTAAGGGCGTGCAATTAAGGCCAATTATTCATTGTTCAAGTTCATTGTGTGCAGTGCGTCTTCTCTCCACTAGAGGGCGGAGTGGAGCTTCTGACAACGTTCTAAAAATGCTTCAACCATGCAGACAATAAACCCAAGTAAGGATAAAGGAACCATAACACTCCACTGCAAGTTCTTGTAAACATTCCCTGTGTGTGTGTGTGTGTGTGTGTGTGTGTGCGCGCTCGTGGGTCTGCAGTACCTCCTCCAGCTGACTGTGCACGTGCTGCACGATCAGATCAATGGCCACCATGTTGCATCCACCTGACGACAAACAAGAAAACAACATTAACTTGGAACCTGTGGCCTCCATGTGTGTGTGTGTGTGTGTGTGTGTGCACGCACCCCGTGGCACCACGATGTCGGCCAGGCGCATGGTGGGCTCGATGTACTGCTCGAAGGCCGGCTTCACAAACTTGTTGTACTGCTTGATGACGCCCTCGATGTCCCGCCCCCGGTCCGTGATGTCACGCCTCAGCCGACGCACCAGCCGGATGTCGGAGTCCGTGTCCACGAAGATCTTCATGTCCAGCAGCTGTCGGGGGAACATCCAATCACGGTGGCGATCTTTGACGGTCATCATGGACACATGCGGAGCGGTCGGACCTGAAGACGAACCTGCAGGAGCTTCTTGTCTGCAAAGGCCATGATTCCCTCGAAGATGATGACGCTGGCTCCGTACACGGTTTTCTGTGATGCACACACACACACACACACACACACACACCGATCATGTGACCGCTATGATCAATCAGCAGTTAGACCGCCGCTAAGAGGAAGTCTGACCCGTGGGAAGAGCAAGAAGAAGAAATGTCAGCGGAGGAGCGGATCTGCAACGTGACACCGAACCTCTGGTGGGAGGGATAACGGTTGCAGCGCCGTGTGTGTGTGTGTGTGTGTGCGTGCGTGTGCGTCCTCACCCACTCCTTCTGGCGGCCGTGGGTGGTGAAGTCGTACACGGGGATCTTCACGCTCTTGCCCTGCTTGAGTTTGCGCACGGTGTGCGTCAGCAGGTCGAAGTCGAAGGCGTCGGGGTGGTCGAAGTTGTAGTCGTTGCTGGCGGCCAGCGTCTGCTGATCCGGGGTCAGGACCTGGGAGGGCGGCGCGGCCGGCGTTACGTCACCGCGAGAACAGGGATTTCCCTTCATCCGCCTCCCGGGTTTCTCTCACATTAAAGTTTGTGTATCAAGAGTTAAATAAAAAGGCGACTAAACATTTTTGCACAAATGCATTGTAATTAAAAACACGCACACATGCTCGCAAATTGTGAACACAGGCGTGTGCAAAAAAAAAAAACATGTCGTGGTGAGGGCACCTAAATTTAGGAGAACATCATGCGCCCGTGTGACGTCTGTACCAGGTGGTGTGTGTGTCTGTGTGTGTGTGTGTGTAGCAGAGCATTAAAACACGCCTGATCTCCGGAGGAACCAGTGGAACGGCAACAAGAGGAAACCGAAACCGGAGTTTCGAATATCTGAACTTCAGATTGTGCCGGGGTTATTTATTTATTTATTTAAGTACACGCTTGTCTCACTGACGCGTTTTATTGAGGGAGGTTTGCGTCTCTTTGTACTCCGCCTCAAATCAGAAACCCATTTTCACCATGTTTTTCTTAATAAATGTAGTATAAATGAGACCGAGTGAAAGAGAGAAATGAAGCCGTGAAGTTTGGTGAAGAGCCCAGAGAGAACAAACTCCTTTTAAGAGACGTTTAGTCACATGACGGACATGTGAAGACACTACAGGTGTCACTTTCTTTACATGGTGGTATAAATGGAATCTTTGCTTAGTGGGACTATGCTCTCTTTCGGGGGGAGGTGCTATTATCCCAATATACATGGCAGTGAATGAATCGAATCATTGGCAGAAAGCATATCGTCATATCCGATACGATAGGTGGCGCTGTTTTCATCACAACTAGTTGTGATGCAGCCATTTCCGCTTCACCACTACCAACAACAACAACAACAACATTAGGAGAAAGACGGCGAGCGGAGAGCGAGGTGAAGCTACGTCCCTCTGCTATGTGTGCATGATGCTAACAGGAGCACAGCGAATGCGAATGACGCTATCGGCTGATTTGATAACGGAGAGAAGACGCCGTCGGGATCTCGAGCATCCGCAAAGACGCAAAGTCCAGTTCCTCATCCGATTCACCGTCACGTGCCGCGATAGTCGAACTATCAACCGGATCGGATGGAGTTATCCAGGCGTGTTAGTCTGATCGTAGTCGGACAAAAGGTGTTTACATGAAACGGATCATTGGATTTCAGTCCGACTGAGCCAGTTATTTGAATCCATGTAACCACGCTGAGTGGTAACTTTTTGCTGGCTGTGTGAGATCTACTGATGAAGAGCGCGTTATGAATTAAATACATTACTATTACCTGCTCATGTGTGTAACACTGTAATGCGATTAACGCTTCCCCCACACACACACACACACACACACACGCACACACATACGCACACACACGCACCTTGTAGAACGAGTCCATGGAGAGCAACACGACCCACGGCACGTCCAGCGCCTCGATGATCTTCCTCGCTACCGTCGTCTTCCCCGAAGCGCTGCCGCCGCACAGCCCTGTGGGGGAGACACCGTCAGTGACGCCGCCCGCTGGCAGGATGAGGATCACAAACACCGCCGCTCGCCGTGGCGGCCTGTCAACGGCGCTCGAGGCTATCGTTGGCTTGTAGGGGGGGGGAGCAGGTTGAAACAGTGTCTCCGGAGGAAACTGGGCGCGCGGTCCTACCGATGACGAAGGCCTCCTTGGACTGCGCTCCGTGCTCGTTGTACCAGGGCGGCCGGCCCGCCGTGTAGATGGTGCGCTTGGAGGTGCGCAGCAGAGGGGGCTCCGACTTGCACTGGCTGGTGGTCCTCTTCCTGGGGGAGAGGCCGGTGCTGACCGCGGGGAGGAGCCGGTCCAGCGACCCGTCGCCGCCTCCGCTGAAACGCAACGCAACACTGTTGGTTTTGGGGCATTAGTCTGGGTAGACGAGGACAAGTCAGCTGTGTGTGTGTGAGACGGGGGCTTTAACCGTGACAGTAAAGTCGTGCGGTGGATTAATGTTTAGTTACGCAGGCTCTGTTCATCGTGTACAGTAAAACCGCCGCAGGTACCAAAGGGCACTTTGCGTTACCTGCCTCCGTTGTGTAACGTTGTGCACTGAGGGTGTCGCACTGGGACCTTTGTGACAACGAGTTTTGACAGGTAAACAAATGACGAGTCATTCAAAGCAGGTGCACGGAGAATTCGAATGAATATTCAAAGCAAAACCACGGCGCTGGACCAGAAATTCTACCCAACGCGTAACAACGCCCGCACACTCCCCACCGAAAACAAAGACACGCAGGATTTCAACACAGAGGTCCGGACACAAACTGTTTGTTTGAGCTTCATTTTGGGTTTTCTTGGAAACGTCAAGAAGAAAGAGAAGGAGGAGCGCTGGCATTGATCTAGTTAATCGGGTGGAATTAGGATTAGTGCAGACCGGTCCGGCGTGTTTGTGAGAGAAGCAACCTGCTCCGCCCTGCATGAAGTGCTGCCCAAGGTATTATAGTCTGGAGAAAAAGCCTTCAGGGACGGAACGTCTGCCCACCGATATCATAGATGATCGACAACCAAAACAAATACCGTTTCTTTGAGCGATAAGACCGAACGCTTACTGCAGTAATCCGCAGCTCTCCGAGTGAGGATCGTAAAAGGAAGGGATGGCGTAACCACGGCGCGCTGTGCTGCCCGAGGCGCCCTTTGGTCCGTTCCTCTGTTATTCAGTAGCCTCTCGGGGTCCCCAGACCTCACAAGACCCCTCGGATATGAAGCAAACAGGCGGGACGGAGAGGGAGAGTACGATTAGCTTGGGTGGAGTCGGGACGAGCCGGGTCTTCGCATGAGCCCACACCGGGGGGGACGGTGCTCGCTCACCCCCCCCTGAACGCCACGGTGTGAAAACCAAAGGAGTCTAGGGGTCACAGGGACCTTCTTAGCCCCCCCTCACCACACGCGCACACACACACACACACACACACACACGACACACACACACACACACACACACACACACACACACTCCACACGACACACACACACACACACACACACACACAC